CAGTGTGCTCCAGGGGGCCTTAGGGGTCCTATGGAGGCTCCTGAGGCTAAGCAGGAAGGGCTTGGGCACCATTCCAGTCCTTTTTGCCCCAGCTACAACCAAAGACGGCCTCTGCTTTATCTGTTTGTCGTACATATGGGGCTTCCGAGTAAGGGTCCTTTATACACTGAGTTCTGAATCTTAAAATACATTGAAAAGGCCCTGGAATGGCCCAGAGGGCCCTGCATGGTATAGTCTGTGCCTTGGCCATGGGATGCTGTGCTCCATTCAGGTTTAGAGGCTAGGGTCTATTTCCTTGCTGTCTGTCACTTGGGAGTCCCTAGCTCCTAGGGGCCTCTCTCTGGTCATTGCATTTGGCTACCTACATCTCAGAACCAGAAATGGAATGAAGTATCCTTTCCATGCTTGGACTTTTTCTGACTTCCCTTTCATCATACCTCTCATCTTCTTCTTTCTTCTACATTCAGCCAGAGAATGATATCTGCTTTTAAGGGCTTATGCAATTATATTAGATCCACCCAGATAATCCAGGAAAATCTCTCTATTTTAAGGTCCATAAACTTAATCACATCTGCCAAGTGCTTTTTGCCAGGCAACATAATATATTCCCAAATTCTAGGCTTAGACATCTTTGAAGGGACATTATTTGGCTTATCACAGTGTTTAAGTGTTTGGTTTTTTCTTCAGGCATGTTATCTTTGTAAAGAAATATTGATAAACGTGTGCAGTATTGTTTGCCTTCAACTCAAGATCACTTTTTTCCACTGGTCCATGCTTTCCTCTGTCCAGCAGGGGCTGGAAGCCAGATAACTACAGTTCTCAGAATCCCTGTCAGACAAGGAAAGGCATCTCCATGAGATCTGGCAGGTGGAAGAGAAACAAAACTCATAGCATTTTTCTCCTGGCAGCTGTGGGTAGGTATGTGGGCTTCAGCAGATAGGAGATTTGGGAGCAGCCTTCCAGCGTTTTCTCTGTTTTGGCACTGGAGGCTCAGGTGTCCTGTGGTTACAGCAAATTTCTGATGCCTTAAAAACTAGCAATGAACCTGACAGCCTTCCACAATGAACCTCCCACAGCTTTGTGTACACCTAATTCCCTGTACTAAATCCCTTTCTGCTTGAAATGACTAGAGTGGTTTCTGTGCTCCTAGCTGACTGATACAGGGATCTTGTTGACCATAACAATTTATAACCCATTTATTTTCACTTAATAATAGATCATGAAGATAAATCTGTTCACAGGTTACTTAACATTCTTAAAATACTCAATAAAATGTGGGTTTCTATGGCTGTGTGGTAGCCCATCACACAGATATATCATAATTTATTTAATCAACCCCCTGTTGTTAGACATTTAGGTTGTTTCCTGTTTTTCACTTTTATAACCCATGCTGTCAAGAGCACCCTTGGCCATGAATGTTTGTGCATGACTAAGAGTATTTACTTAGAATATATACTTGAGTGCAAATTTAGTTACAGGGCATTAACTTTCTGAAAGCTTTTATGCATATTTCCAGACAAGTCACCTGTGTTTTCTTCCTTGGCTCACAGGACACCCCACCCCTCTGGTTCTCCTCTCACCTCTCTGGCCGTCCTTCTCTGTCTCCTTGGCTGGTTCCTTTTCATCTCTTTGACTGCTAACCAGTAGAGAACCCTGGGACTCAGTCCTTGCATGTCTTCTCTTTTTTATCTACACTTATTCCCTTGGTAAATTAATTCACTCTTATTGCTTTAAATACTGTTCCTATGCTGATGACCCCTTCATTCATACCTTAAGCCTAAGCCTTTCCCCTGAACTCTAGACTTGTATATTCGAATTGCCTGCTCGACATCTCTACCTGAATATTTAGTGAGAATATCAAAATCAGCATGTCCCAAACTGAACTCTGATCTTGCTTTCCAGACCAATTTCCTCACAGTCTTCCCCATCTCAATGACAATTCCTTCCTTTGAGTTGCTCAGACCAAAAAACCCGGTAGTCAACCCGACACCCCTCTTTTGCTTGGACCCTTTGTCCAATCTCTGAGCAAATTCCTACTGACTCTAACTTCAAAATACATCCATAATCCAGTCACTTCTCACTAGCCCCACCGTTACCACCTGGTCCTGGCTGAGTCACCTAAATATCCTCCTGACACTCCGCCCCTCGCCACCTCTGCCTTGCTTAGTCTATTCTCAACAGTGGCCAGAGTGATCCTGTTAAAGCATGAACCAGATCAAGTCGCTTTTCAACTCAGAACCCTCCAGTGGTTCTCAATTTCCTCAATAAAAGCCGGTATCTTTATAGTGGTCTGCGAAACCTTAACCAACACCCCTACTGACCCTCTGACTCCCTCTCCCCACTCTCTGCTTATTTAATCCATTCCAGCCACTGGAGCCTTCCTGCTGTCTCTCAAACATTCCAGGCACGCATCTACCTTGAGTCACTGCACGAGCTGTCATCTCTGCTTAGAACACCTTTCCCAGATGTCTACATGATGGGTTCCCTCACTTCCTAGTTCAAATGTCTTCATAGTGATGCCTTCTCTGATCTCCCCACCCCCCGTAAAATGACAACCCCTAGCCACCCGGACCCTCCCTATTTCTACTTTACTTTTCTCCATGGCTCATATCAATATCCTTCAAATACACACACACACACACACACACACACACACATATGCACACACACACACTTATTTATTTATTTATTTATTTATTTATTTATTTTGTTTATTGTCTGTCTCTTTCCATTCAAATGCAAGTTCTTTGAGAGTGGGAAACTTTATCTGTTTGTTCACTGAAGTAGCCTCTAAGAGTACGAGAGAACAGCAGGCACTGGATAAGCATTTGTTGAATGAGTAAATGAATTAATATTTTTCTTCTAGCCTATGGTCCTGAGACAGTGCATAAGGCTCCAATGTGTACTATTTGTGAAGCATATTACAGTTTACAATATAGATCTCGCTTCGCTTTGGAGACTCTGACAGGTAGGGATGGTGCAGGGGTGAAGAGCATTGTCTCATTGTTAACTCTTTTGTGCTGTATTTTTCCCATCTGCAATAATAACTATCTCATAGGATATTATCAAAACTAAATAAGATAATTTATGCAAAGAATTTACATAGTGCCTGGAATTTATTAATCACTAAATAATTACAAACTTGTTTATTACCACTTTTTAGTAGAGAAATCTGAGGCTCAGAAAATTTAGGCATTTTCTACAAGTTACACACTAAGAGGAAAAGTGAATTTTGAACCCTGGACTTTTTGGCGGGTGCGAGAGAGAAGATATTTTTAATGATACATTTTTCTGAAAATTGTCATAGCAATGTCATTTATACTGCTGGCTTCAAATGAATAAGGCCATTTTCATTTCTTGTTACCAAGATATTTTTCAGAGCTTGGCCCAAATAACTTTAATTTGAATATTCTTTTATTGTAGGGAACAATTCACATTACTTCTTTTTTGGGGTAGTTTTCTATTTGTGAATTGAATCCCTGATGTTAATTTTGTCATGGAGGAAAAACTGGGGACATTACAATGGGGAGAGGTATGTGATTAGCTTGAATTAAGTTTTGCTATATACTAACCTTTGCTATTTAGTTACACATATTATAGCAAAACGAATTTTCTAAAATACCATACTAGTTTTGCCTTGCATGAAAGGATTCTAATAAATTAAAAATTACTAATTTTGTTAATAGATAAATGTATCTAATAGGTCTTGGTGCTTGGCCTTTGTTCTTAGAAGTTTTAAAACTTTAGCTTTTCTTTACAATGTTTCTTTCTTTGTCTTAGAATGCATCTATCCAAACCACAAAATCTCCCGACAGTGTTAATGGAAGTGAACCAAGGCTCCTCAGGTCTGTTATTAATTTTATTTTAAAAAACAGCAAGTCATTTTAGAGTGTAGAGAACCCAGGACTTTTGATTCATAATACTTTCTGTATTAAAACAAACATATAATAACCCAATTAAGGGTATGGGATGCTCCCCCAAAGCCCTGAGGCTAAAGAGCGAGGGAATCTCTTGATTTCTTTCCGTTATTTGGATCCCCTCCATGACATTTTGGCGAAATCATTTTGGCCAAACCTCTGTTTGAATATCTCTAGGCCTGGAGGACTCACTGTCTCCAGGCCGTACATTCCAGAGAGAGGCATTTAGGCTCCTGTGCAGTTTGTCACGCTATGCGAGGAAGGAGGCAGCCATGCAGTTTGTCACACTACATGAGGAAGGTGGCAGACAGTGTTAGGTGCCCACCAAATATCTATCTTCCCCACCCTCCTTACTTATACAATTCCAGTTTTTTTCAGGGCAGCAGTGCGCCAAGCAAAAGCTAGACTCTCTAGGCTTTTTCACAACTAGGGTGGGCCTTATGACGTGGTTGTGGCCAACAAGATGAATATAAAGATCATCTGGGGTTTTCCTGATCAAAGCAGGGGACATTTTTAGCAGGCAGCAGTCTCTACCCTTTCCTCTTCTCCCTTTTCCTGCCTGGAATGTGGATGTGATGGCTGGATGTCCATCAGCCATATTTTGAGCATGAGGAGGAAAGAGCCACAGGCTCAGTGTGAAAGGAAGGAAAGCTAGAGGAGCTTGCGTCATGGGGGGCAGTGAGGGTGGGTAACATCAGTATGGGCCTGCTGCTACCTCTGTGCTTTTCATCGTGTGAGGAAAATAAGCCTCTCTTGGTTAAGCCTCTGAAGTGAGATTTCTGTCACTTGCAGCCCTGACACAGTGACCCAAGGATTCTGCAGTGGATGCTATTCCTTAGGCATGAGCAGCTTGGGCTCTAGTCTCCTTTTTTGTGAGGTGTAACGAGCTCCAGGGCTGTAAAATCTTGTAGTGTCCCTGGAAAGCAGCAGGGGTTGTTGCTCCTGTGATGGATAAACACAGGCTGCAATCAACTCAAGCTGGACATTATTGAAAGGGTTCCTCATCACAGGGTGTCCTGAAGTAGGATGTCCTCTCCTATGGAGCAAGACTTGAAAAAATATGTCTCCCTTTAGGCCTGGCCATTCTGCTTCTAGGACTTTGTTTTAGAATAGTAATCAAAGAAATGAACAGCTATTTTTGTATGAGAACCATAGCACTGTGTATACCCATGGAAACTAGGAAAAAATTAAATGCCCAACAGCAGAGAAATGACTACTGAATTATGGCACATCCACATTATTTAATATGACGTAGCCTGGTGAAACCATGTCATGGATGATTATTAAGGTGAGAAACTATTGCTTAAAAATATGCATTATGCGCAATATAGTTCCAATTTTGTCAAAAATACATATATACAACCCTCTTCTCCCTGGCTCCAGCTCTTTCAGGGGGCACCCCAGCAGCAGCCACTCTCCTCATACTCAACTGCTATTGTCTCCTCCACTACTTGTGGTCTGGAGGTCAAGGACAGTGTCTCTCCTCTCTGGAGCCCCAGGGCCTCGCCCAGGCCCCGGTGAAGAGCAGGCAGACATCTGTGGAATAAGCAAATGGGGAATTGGTGACCAGAGACTCAATGTCACTCATTGCTCCCTGTGAGGGTCTGGCGGGACCTCCAACCCCTGTTTCCTAGTCCTGCTGACCTCTCCCTCTGATTCTCTGCCAGGCCTTGCATCCACATTCAGGTGTCTCCCAGGCCAGAGACAGTGTTCCCCATTCCTGGCTGCTCGTCAGTCTCACCTGGCACCTCACTCCACACCAGTGGAATGAGAAGCTCCAGGGTGCGCTGGCTTTGAGGGCAGGGACCACGGTGCCTGAAGCCCCTATGAACTAGCACTGAGGTGCAGTGAGGAATGGGGCTAAGTTACCATCCTTCTACCAGCCACTGCCAGCTGTAAAACTATCAGCTCCACACTACAGTGCTAGGAACAGGTAGAATTCGAGTGGCCCCTGAAAGCAGCCCCTGCAGAACGGCCATTTCCTCTGCCTGCGTGGTAATTGTGAGAATTAAGGTGATGGGAGGAGCCCCACAGGTCAGCCCTTTTCTCAGGCTTTACCTGGATCCATTCACTTAGTCCCCACTGCTAGCCAACCATGAGCTGGGTATTACTACTACCATCTGCATTTCGCAGAGGGACCAACTCAGATACAGAGAGGTGAAATAGCCATCCCAGGTCACATATTTATCTGGCCAGGGATAGGATGGGGACCCCGTCCCAGGCGGCCAGGGTTTGAGGCTAAGCCTCTCTGCCCCATTGGGTGGGAATTACATGTCTAAGTATCTTCTGTGTGCTTGGGATCCTCTCACAAAGCTGCCATTCTAGAAACTTGAAAAGAATAAAATATGGATAAAAATATAAAAGGAACAAGACTATCAAAGACAACAGGCTCATTTCCACACTGCCTTTCCCAGATCAATTGTGGGGTGTGTACTGTTCTTGTGCTTGTCCAATCTGACTCTGGCCTTGTCCTCTCTGCCTCATCCTTCTGAAAACCTTCCCTTTGTCCCCAAAGAACCTAAGCTCTCTTTAACAGAATTGTATTATGGCCCGGGACCCACTTGCTTGAGCCTCCAGATGCAGGGCGGGCATCTCACGGGCGAGGCAGGAGCAATGGAGACAGATGGCAACCGGAGGGAGATTCGATTACCTGCTTCTTCCCAAAGCCAGTCTGCCCAGTAACTGCGTTAGGTCTCATTATTGATAGGCTTCCTCTCAGCTGCTGCTTGAGATTTGGTTTATCTGTGAATTGTTATATCCGTTGGAGCTCGGAAATGGTTGAGCCGGGCCTAGCTCGGAAGTGTAGGGAGGAGGGAGGTGGCAGGAGATGATCACTGTGGGGACAGGTTGGGGAGCAGGTCAGTCAGGGCCAAGTCGGCTCAGGGCAAGGGGAGTCTGGCCAGACCAAGGAGAGAAGATAAGGCTGAAGGTGGGGTGTTCAGTCCTTGAATGCCAAGCTGAGAGGCTGGTTTAGGCATGGTCAGTGATAGGGAGCTATGACAGGCTCTTGAGTAAGGGAAGTGACAGGTTAATATGGTTTTGGAGAGGAAGAGCAAGGGAGTGTGGCAAAAATCAGGCAAGACAAGGATGGTTGGGACCCCTTGTCTGTCCCTCTGAGGAGGGCAGAGAATGGAACCAGGGGCCTGGACTCACTGGGTTCAGATGGAGGCACAGAAAGCAGGTACTGTGCTAGACTCATGCCTGTGTTAAATCTCACTCAATCTCTGAAGCAGGCCTATAAGGTATCCAGGTGGAAGTGATGGCCTGATGAAGATGAGTCATTGCGGGGCTCACAAAATGGAATGGAGGTTCAATGGATCTATCAGATGCCAATGCCACATTCTCCCCGCTGTACCACTCAGCCTTCCAGGGCTCAAGAGTCAGTGGCAAGAAATACTCTTTCCTCCCCAGTCATCCCTGCACTTAGAGCTCAGAACCACAACAGTAACAGTCAACCAGCCACCGTGTATTGAACACCACATCTTACACACATCCTCTCTCATTGTGCTCAGACTTGATGATCCTCATTTGACAAGTGAGGAAGTGGAGCTCAGAGAGGTCAATGGCCTGCCCAGGCCACACAGCAGGTATGTTTGAAGGGCCAAGCAAGAGTTCCAATGCAAGCCTGCCTGGTTTCTCTCACTACACTGCTCTCCATTCCCAGACTCTGGCTCCTGTATTCCTGTACTCCACTTACTCTAATCCTGGGATTAGTGAGGAGGGGGAATTGGCAGAGTTGCTCAGAATAAGCTGTTCAGCATGGAAACTTTTCTGAACATCTCCAGGCCTGCCTCTTTCCTGCCTCGGTTTCTTTACATCCCAGGAATCCATCTCTCCAGGCCTGAGGCCCAGGACTCTGGGGAGAGGGACTGTGGGCATGGGGTGGGGAGAATCTGGGGCCATGGGCACATGGGGGTGGGGAAGCCAGGCTGCAGCCTTGGGCTTCCCATCCCTGGTTGTACCAAGGAGGGGTGGTGAGTTGAGGGAGGGAAGGGGCTCTGGTGAGATGGGAGCATGTCCCTGCAGGAAACCCAGACTCTCAGAGGAGAACCAAGAATGACTGGGCCTCAGCCCAGCACTAATACCTCTGCACACACTCCCCTAAAGATTTTCCCTCAGAAAAATCTGTTTAATTTTTCCAGCTCAGAGGTAATAAATGAAGGATTTGGGGTGGGGTGAGGATGAGTGATGGGGGAGGCCCATGGAGCTTGCCATGGGAAAAGGTGAGCAAACAGAAGACCAGTTTCTGACATGCCCCTTTCCCCAGGAAGAAACCATGAATGCAGGCCGTCTAACTATAGGACCAGCAAAGGCCCTGACCCGCCGCCATATGATCAAAAGGCTTTGGCTGACTGCCTCAGTTCATTTTATTGTTTGCGTGTTCTCAGAATAGGAGACCCCAAGACAGAAACTGCATGTGTTGGGCACAGGAAATCTCATATTGCTGAGTGTAATTATTGTGGTGAGGTGGACAGTGACATTGGTGGTCATAGTGGTAGAGGCCAAGGTGGGCGTGATGACGGTGGCAGTGTGATGGTGACGGGGGTGGTCACGGTCATGGAAACCTTAAAATCATGATTGGGGTGGGGTGGAGGTTGAGAGGTGGGCTTTGTAACCTGACACACCTGGGTCCCATCCCAGCCTCATCTCTTTCTAGCAGTCACTTGTGTGATCTGCCTCTCTGAGTCTACTTTCCTCAGCTAAAAAGTGAGAAAAATAAGAGCTCTTGGTGAAGTTCAGGGCTCCCTGGGGTGGGTGCTGACTCCCTCAGTTCTGATGTAGTTTTGGGGTTCTTTGGTCCCTCCATCTGCCCTGCTTCCTTCCCTTCTGCCCACAAACTTCCTCTGGTCATTGTCACCAGCTCTTCCCTTAATCACCATTCAATTCCTTCCTTCAGAGCCCCACACATTCTAAAAAAGAAGTTTGTACACACTGCCTCTGCTTCCTGGCTTCCCACTCGCTCCCTAACCCCTTCTCGGTAGCCTCTGCGTTCCCGACGCTTCGGAAACTGCTCTCAAAGTCAGCAGAGGCCTCCCCCACATCTCAGCCACATCTGAACCTCCTCGGGAAAATTGGCCCTATAACCCCCAAGGCTTTGAGAGAGTGTCTTCCCAGGGCCTTCCAGACCTGCGTGTTCCACCTCTCCACCACCTGGAACCCATTCTGCCTCCCTCTACCCCTAAAGATCAGTGCTCTGATGCATCCTCCTCTCTCTGTACACTCTCCACAAGGGTCATTTAGCTCCCCTGGTTCCAAGTCCAGTCTGTGCACGAGCAGCTCCAAAGTCCATTTTTCTGGTCTATCAGATCACCCGGCTAGAACCCCACTTCTGGCCACTAACTGGACTCCCTCCAGCATGTTAAAGGAAGGCCATCCAGTGCTGAACTCATCATGCCCTCCCCAGATCCTCCTGCTCTCTTCCCTCCCTGTCTCCCCAGACTCCTCGCCCCTTCATACAAATTTTCACCCAGTTGCAAGTCCTGTCAATTTTCCCGGGTCATGGTTCTTTTAAAATGAATACAGAATCTAATTTTATTTTCAAAATACAAAAGCAGCTCATTATTTAACTTTACTCCATTTAAATTTATTATATTGATTAACCTTCTTTGGTATTAAGGCCAATAAATTATATAAATCTTGGATCTTTCCTTTTAACCCAGAAAAATAAACTCTGTTATGACAATCCATAACATGTTAATCTGTGTTATGTAAACTGTTGGCTTTAAAAAAAAAAAAAGCCTTTTTAACACTGGTACCAATGTCTCAGAAACTTCCTACACATCATTGTGTTTGCTTTCAGAAACAGCTAGGTAATGTAGATTAAACTTCCTCCTGAAGGCCACTAGAAAAGCTATATATTAAAAAAAAAAGAAAAGCAAACAAAACAACAAACTCTTTGAGGATCTTTAAGGTAGTGGGGAATTTTTGGGCTAGGGTATAAAGAGGACCGGGAGTAGGGAGGTGAGCCTGGCTTCGGAAATGCTTCTCCTTTGGGCAAGGAGGAAGCAACTGAGAAGCTGAAAGGTTGATGGAAAAAGACGGCCTCCTGGAGACAGGAGACTAGGCCTATCAAGAGGAGTGTTTCGTGAACCTCTTTGCTTTGGGTTGGGACCCCAAAAGGTTGCACCTGATGAACTAAAAGTAGACAGGTTCTGACAGGGGCTGCAGCCCAGCTTTGACTCATCTCAATTCCTGAAATTGGATTAAGGTGATCCGATGTTGCTAGTGCCCTCAGGCTCTTGAAAATCCTCTCTGGAAGAAGCCGTCGTCTTGTTAGATATTTCTATAAATGATTTTGCAACTACAATGTCCAGGGTGCACCCATGCGCATGCGCGCACGCGCGCGCGCGCGCGCACACACACACACACCACACACACACACACACACACACACACACACACACACACACACACACCCTGGCATAAACCAAAACGCCCTGCAAACCCAAAACTAAAAAACAAAAATCAGACACATGATGAGACAAGACAACATGAACAAATATATAAGATAATATCCTCTCTAGATATTGGAGTTATGTATGCAGATTTAAACATTTTTTAATGCAGTACTTAGCATGATCAAGGAGATAAAAGACAGGATTAAGAATTTTGGTAGAGAATTGAAACTATTTTTTTTTCTAAATGGAAATTCTGGAACTGAGAATTATTATACCTGACACTAAAATATCAAAGGATAGATTTAGCTGCATTTTAGACAAAGCTGAACAAAGAGTTAGTTAAATAGAAGTGAGATGAGAAAAATTATCCAGAATGAAGCATGAAAGAGTAAAAGATGAATATATAAAAGAGAGTCTAAGAAACCAGAAGAAATACTGAGACGGTTTAAAAGAATGGGGTGGAAGCAATATATAAAGGGATAATGCTGAGAACTTTCAAAAATTGATGAAAGACATTTTCAGACTAATAAAAACAGGAAATTAATCACCAGCAGACCCACATTAATAAAATAATTTTCAGGCAGAAGGAAATCCCAAATGGAAGGTCAGGGATACAGAAAGGAACGAAGACCAATGAAATGGTAAGCATGATAAATATAAAATGTAGATAAATATAAAATGTATTGGCTGTGTAGAAAAATTATAATATTATATTGTTTGGACCTTAAGATCCTATAGTTAGGACCTTAAGATCCTAAGGTCCCTGTCTACATTTTGGGAGAAGAGAGTAAAAGAATCAATTGATATTAGGATTTTTAAAGTATGTAAGCTGTAATTTCTGGGTAGCTACTAAACAATTGTAAAAGAATAACTTCTGAATTAATAGAAGAGGATAATTGAATATGATAACTCTAACAGAAGGCAAAGAAAAGAGAAAAGCAAGAACATAGAGAGTAGGCAGTACACATAGAAAGCACTTGTAATAAGATGATAGATATAAACCCAAATGTAAAAATAATTTTATTATATGTAAAAATGACTAAATTTTCTCATTACAAGGCAAATATTTTCAGCTTTTCAGACTTACTTGGATAAGAACCAAAATTCGACTATATACTATTTATGTAGATGTACATGAAATATAGAGACAAAGAAAGATAAAGGATGGGAAAAGATATGATATACAACAGTAACAAAAGCAAAAAGGTAGTGTAGCTATATTAAAAAAAAAACTAGATTTTAAAGCGTTATCAGGTTAAAGAGAGATACTTCAAAATGATATAAAGCTTACTTCATTAGGAAGATGTAATTATTCTACATTTATATGCAACTGATAACTTCGCATCTAAATACATAAAGCAAAAATTGACAAAACCATATTACCATACTTCGGATTCCTTCTCTGCCTTTCTGGGGTCACAGAAGCTAGGCATTTCAGCTATCGGGGCCCTCTCTCAGAAATATCCTATCTGGTTCATTTATGGAGTCATTTTTAGACAAGGGGCCATCTTGGCTAACTCACTTCACTTGTATGTAAAGAATGTGTGTTGCAGATAGTATCGGTGCCTTGCCCCATTTTATAGGTACTCGCTGTTTTCCTACACAGCTACTTGGTAGCTTCCAATTGCAAACCCCTGAGACTCTATACCTCAGGGCTTTTTCTGGCTGCAGAGCCTGCTCCTGCATGTGTGACATTCCGAAAGTGCCAGAGAGTTAATGCTCCCAGGAATCAGTGGATAAATACCCCAACTCCCTTGCTCTTCAAGGATTAAATCAGAAACATGTGTTCTCGACTGTCCTCCAGAGATCTCCAGCAAGTTTGATTTTCAGTTGCCCATAGGGGTAACTGGTTTGATACGATGCACTTTTTTTGGGCTACCTTCCCTTTCCTGCATGATTTCCCTATTCTCCTATTGTAATTCCTTGAGATCATCTTCCAAATAAACTGTATTAAAATCCTTTTCTTAGGGTCTACTTCCAGGGGAACTCAAACCAAGATAATATCCTTTATTTTAATAAGGACATCACCAACCCCTGCAATGTTGCTTGGTTCTGAGGTGGTCTCCTTTTCCTTATTTCATCCCCTTGACCCTGTCTTCATCATGACCTCATGTGTGTTTTTCACCTAGGCTGTTCTGACAGTGGTTTCCTGTCCCCATAATTTCCTCCCATCGCTTCTCTACAGGCAGCCTCAGTAAACTTCCTCTTAAGCACAGAGCTCATCATTGTATATACCTTGTACTCTGATATCATCAGTGGCTTCCCATTGCCCTTAGCAGAAAATCTCAATACTCAGCTTGACATGAAAAGACCTCTGTGATCTAGCTTAGAGTCACCTTTCAGTCATTCCCTGTTCACCACTGCATTCTTCTCAAAGCCTGTGCTCATTTCTCAGCCACCTTCACTTCTGGACACTGGGTCTCATGCTTCACCATTGCCCACTATGCTCTCCCCTGCTTCCAGAAGTCAGAAGCCTGTGAGCCATCCTTCAGGGCTCAGCTCAAATGATGCCTCTGTGAAGCCTTCCTGATGCCTCACATTGGTCTTTGACCCTCCCACAATATCACAAACCTGGTAACTGCTAGTGGGTTCTGAGAACAGATGACAGTGAAATCCTCAAGAATTAGGACTCCTGGGTCCTCTTCATTATATTGCCTATAAGACAAATCTGTATAACCTTGGACTTATTCTCCCTGGATCTTAGTTGTTACAACTGCACATGAAGTACTGTTGACTAGTCAGTGTTTCTCCAAGGAAGGAAGGGGTATAATTCTTCATTGCACAGACTGCCTTGTGTATTGTAGGACATTTAGCATCTCTGGCCTATAGCACCCAATGCCAGAGCATCCCTAATCATTATTGCAATGAAAGAGACCCTAACACATTTTTAAAATATTTAGGAGTATCTCTACCAGAGTGGGTGATTCTTTAGGATCTTTCGGCTTGGAGACTTTTAGAATCATCTGATTGGTGTGTAGGGACGCTGGTGGCCCAGAACCATGCATAGGCCTAGCCAGTGGGTCAATGATGAGGAGAAAATTGGAACAAAACTGGAGGCAATGCCCAGCTCAAGTCCTGGCACATGAGGACAGAACTAATGTTCAGCATCCCAGCCTTCGAAGGGGCACAAACACCCAGCTGGCTTTGGCTGGCCTCCCAGTCTGAAGAGTTTCAGTTTGTCTGACCGACAAGAGTCCGGATAGCAGGCGATGTAACTGGTGACTAGTAGGCCACCGATTGCAGGATTCAATGGATGAGGGCCTGCTGGGGCTGACAGGGCAAGGACTGGGGCTTGGCCAGCATCTTGGGCTATCAGTGGAACTAGAATAACATGTAAAAAAAAAAAGTCTGTTTTCTTATGCAGGTCATCATAGGAGATTGGGTGGAATTAATGGGGGGCAGCCGTGCCTTGGGGATCAGGAAAGGGCATGTGGGCAGCAGAAAGTTTGTGACAGCACTCCTGCTGGGGGTGGCTGCGAACACACCTGGTTGTAGACGGGATGGTGGGGTGGAGGCAGAGAAATGTGGCTGTGTTACTGAGAGTTAAGATGGCAAGGGCAGGCAAGATGACTGTGAGCAGCCTCTCTTCAGAGGTGGTTTGCGGCTGGGGCTCTGTGGAAACCAGGATGTTGCCCAATGTTGAGAGCTCAGAATGAGTTTTCAGGAGGTTCTGGGAATTGCTTCATTCATTGATTAACTGAGTCAGCCATTCAACAAGCATCTCTGGGGCTGGAATGAGACCACCCCAGTCTTGTACGTGTTCTGGAACCATAGTTCATCTGGTGTGAGCTGTCAGAGCTTTGGTGACTGATAAAGGAAGAACTTGGAAGGAAAAGAATTTGTCAATATTTATTCAACTGGATCCAGGAGAGGCTGCTCTGCATTGAGATGAGATGATTGGCCTCCAGCAAGTGATGAAGGTGGTGTAGAGGGAGAGGGAGGAGGGCTGGAAAGGACAGTGCCAGGTACCGTGTCACTCGATCTCAGGCACACAACCACTCCGTGAGTTAGAGGCTACGATTTCCCCCACTTTGCAGATGGACAGAGGATTGTTATTGAGTTCAGAAGAGCAGTTCTTCAGGCTCACCCAGCTTGAACAGCTCTGAGAATCTCCAAGTGCCATTGCTGTGATGTCTGCAGACTTCGATTCTCAGGTGGTGGCTGCTAGAGCAGGAGAGACAGCCTCTGTGCCCACTGAGGTCCTTCTCACAGCAACATCTGTCCCCATGGTAACACCAAACATCAAGCCCGGATATATGGCCAGCCTCCTGGAATCTACTCACTCTTGGGCAAACCGATAAAACCAAAATTTTGAACTTTGTACACCAAGGATCAAGTCTTGTGGCTCCTCCAAGCACCTGAGAATGTTAGCTAACACATTCTGAGTACTGTTATGTGCCCAGCCCTGCTCTCAGCAATGCAGACTTAGTAACCTATTCAATCCACACGTCAACCTGGGAGAGAGGCATCATCGTTAGCCTTATTTTACAGATGGGAAAATGTAGGCACAGAGATGCTGAATAACTTGCCGATGCTCTCACAGCCGATAACTGGCAAATCAGGATTCAAATCCAGATACGCTAGCTCCAGAGGCTCCAGAAATCTGGTGAGGGGCTGCCTGAAGCAGATAGTCACCTCCCCACCACCACTACCACCAACCCTGAGTTAAAGACAACTGGATTTGGGCCCCCAGAGCCTACAGTCAATTTCTGGCCACAGCGCCATTAGCTATGTGACTTGAAACACATCACTTGCTCTTTCTGAATTCCCATTTTCTCCCTGGTTGAGTGAAAGGGTTGAACCGCATGATCCAAGCTTGGTTCCAGGTCTGACATTTCAAGAGGCTTCGTCAGGCTAAAATAAGCAGCAAGAGGCACGCTGTGGTTGGGAAAGGGCAGCCTGGGACGTGCGTGCGTGGACGCTGGGAGGCTCTCTGTGGCGAGGGGGCGTCGAGGGCTAATTATGAGTGCTTGAGCTCAGCTGGGGGCCACTTTCTCCCCTTCATGCCCACAGCTGGCTGTGAGTCACTGACAGGTCATCAGCCACAGTAGGGTTGCTGGAGACAGGCAGACCCTGAGCGTGAAGAGAAGACAAGTCCAACCTGGTCTCAGCTTTAGGGGCCCCAGGGGTCTGCGTGCTCTTCCCAGTCCCTGTCTAGATGCTACTGCACACCCCCTAGGAAGGTGTTTTATCTCTGTCTCCCTGAGCAGAACATCCGTTTCTATCTCAGTTCTGCCAGTCCTGGCTCCTGTGCTGCTCACTTCACACTCAGAGGTACCTTCTCTGTGCCAGGGGTGGGTTAGAGGCAGGTAAGACACAATTTCTGCTCTCAGGAAGCTCATAGGAGAGGGGTGGGGGCCCCAGAGCACCTGCCCTCTGCTCACCCCCATCCTCCCACCCCACTGCCTCTGCAGACTAGGTCATTGCCAAGTGAGGCCAGGTACCAAATTCCTCCTTCCCGCCCTCAGCCCTGAGGAGGAAGCTGTCAGAGGGGCGTTGACCTCAGGATAGACTGATGATCGCCAACGGGGTCACCCCCTGGGAAAGTGGCCCAAAGTGGGCTTTGGAAAATGATCTCTCTGGGAAAGCTGGGAGGTATAGGAGGGGAGTCAGGACTGAGCTGATCCCAAGACACCTCCATCCTTGCCCTGCTATGAATGTCATTCAGCATGACACATCTGGCACTGTTAAATGGATTAGAAATGTGCTTTCCTATATGTCGTCAGTCTTTCCTTCCTTCCTTCCTTCCTTCCTTCCTTCCTTCCTTCCTTCCTTCCTTCCTTCCTTCCTTCCTTCCTTCCTTCCTTTTTCTCTTTCTCTCTCTTTCTTTCCTTTTTCGTTCTCTCCTGCCTTTCTTTTTCTTTCTCCCTCCCTCCCTCCCTTCCTTCCATTATTCATTGGTTTCTTCATTCATTTAAGAAATAGCATCTCTGAGAAGTGTTCCTCTTGGTTCTGCTTAAACTCATCCTCTGAAGCTCTGTCTTTTGGGGCAGCCCAATCCACATTGTGACCATCTGATGCTTGAAACCTTACTGCTAATGATTTGAAATTTGAATCCCTAAACTGATCGGCTGGTTATTTGTCTGCCCCTGAAGAACTAGTTTAATCCCTCTTTATATGGCAGCCCTTGGAGGGTACAAGGCATACTCAACTCCTCCCTCCTTTCCTCGCTCCCTTTCTGCCTTCCTTCCCTTCCTCTTTAGACATTTATTGAGCTTCTATTATGTGCTAGGCACCTGGAAAACAACAATAAGCAACAGCACATACCGCTCCTGACCTCACAGTGCTTCAGTCTAGTTATGGAGACACCGCAAACAGAACAATCACATAGAGAACTGTAAGCTGCCTCTGGTAAGTGTTAACCTAAGACCAGGTGGTAGGCAGAGCATATTGAAGTGAGACATAATCCAAAAGAGGTAAGAAAAGGCTTTTCTGAGGAAGTGGCTCTTAAGCTGATATGAAGAACATGCAGGGCTTAACTAGCTAAAGAGGAGCAGGGAAGTTGCCATGGCTGGAGTGTGGGACTCTAAAGTGTCTGGGCCTTTTGTTCTTGAGACTGAACATCCTCGTGCTAGTTCCTCATATAGTGGGGATTCTGGACCCCCTCCCCACCCTATCACTTTCCTTGTCCTTGTCCCCTTCAGAGGGAGATCCCCAGGTCTGGACCCACTGCTCCTGGAGGGCCTGGCCAGCTCCAGGCCTGGGGGCCACTCCTCTCCCTGGCCGGCTGCTGCCCTTTTATTAGTGCAGTCCAAGTCTGCACATTCGTTGCTCCCCGGGAACAAGTCCCCTTCCAGGAATGCTCACCCCCAATCTTATATGTGATCTCTCAGCCCATGTTTGAGCTGCTGAGTGTCGGAATTCTTGCATTGGCCCTGTGAACATCTTCTTCCTGGTATCACCTGTTCACTCCAGCAAGGCAGGATCTGTTCCGAGTCCGGATTCTGCTGCTGGCTGCGACGCCTAGGCTGCTTGTGCTGTCTGCATATCCTGGACAAGGTGGCAGCAGGCCATGTCTCAGAGCATACAGTGGGGGTGGGAAGGGAGGGCAAGGGGCCTGAGAACCTGGGAGGAAGCTATCGAAGGGGATCTGCCCTGGGGCTCCAGAAAGAGGTGCCTAGGGCCTGAGGCGGGAGCTACACTGGGTTCACACTGTTCCTTGATCTCTGACCCCTGTCCTGCGCCTCTCCCCAGCCCCTTATCAATATAGATTGAGGAGTGAGGCTAGCTGCATGTGCATTTGTGCATTTGTGGTGTGCACATGTCTGTCTGTGTGTGTGGAGTACGTGAGCAGTCCCACCAGGCCTTACTATTGGCTGGTACCCACCTTTTGCCCTGAGTTACCCTGTCACTCAGGGATGGCCAGGTCATCAGAGACCAGCAGAGACCCCACCTGACCTGCCTTGCTTAACAGCCACAGCAGGTGGCCCCACCTGCTCTCCTGCCCTCCTACCTGCCAGAGAGTCCTCATGCACCACTCTAGTCCCGCAGAGTGCAGAGCAGGAAGCCGGGCAGGGCCCGCTCCTCAATCCTTGACTTCTGCCCATAGGTCTCCCTGCTGCTGGTGCCACCCCTGGGGGGGCCCTCATCTCGTCACTTTCCCTATCACCCACTCTTCATCCTTTCAGACTCAGCGTAGACATTGATTCCTCCAAGAAGCCCTCCTTGACCCTCCTCTATGATCTCACAGACTGTAGATCTGTGGGCAGGGCCCATGTGGAATTTATTATAGCGTTTCTAGAAACTAAAACTCAATACATCTTATTAAATGAATGAAACAATAACCTCCGTGGGCTTCATATTTCTTATCTGTAAAATGAAAATAATACTATCTGACACACTAGATTCTGAAGGGGGCTGTGAGAGAGGATGTATGGGAATTTCCTATCACCGTGCTGGACATACAACAGATGCTCCAGAAAGAGCTCTAATTTCCCTGCCCTTTAATGTTTATGGATATGTGTTCTTTTCTGTTTAAAAATACTGTACATTTTTGGAGTTCTTTTGGCCCAAAAGCCTGACTGGCTTCTTGTAGCTCAGGTCTCCAGTCACGTGTCTCACTTTCTTACAGAGACATTCCGTGACCACCCCGTCTAAAATAGCCCCACCCACCGCAACACCCTCCACTTCAGTAGTTGTCTTATTCATGACCTGAACTTTCTTCTTTTTTGACTTGATCCTCTGTCTTTCTTTCCTTAGACTGTGAGTGCCATGAGGGCAGAGACCTCAGCTGACTTTTCCATTTCTGGGGCCCCAGTGTCTAGAGCCGAGCCTGGTACATAGCAGCTGTCCAGCGGTTTCCAGGGCCAAGGCTGTGACGTTTCTAGGGGACGAACACCAGAGTGTGTGTGTTTCGGATAGAAGATGGTGAGGTAGCTCACCCCCTCCCTCACTGTACATCTTAGGGAGGTGAGGAATGGGGGAGACTCCTGGGCTCCCCAACATGTTCCCTGAGGGAAACTAGAAAACAACGGTTTCTTCAGGATTGTGCAGGTAGGGAGAAGCATCTTTTTTGCCTGGTGACTCTGGGAGGCTGGGGCTGAACACAGGCCTTTCTCACCATCCCTGAGCATAGTCCATCTGCGGGCAAGGAGAGACTGAGGCACTTCTGCCGTTCCCCGACTTCGGACGGACCTACCCTATTGCCCTAAGCTGGGACCCCAGCACTAGGCCTGCGTCTTCTGGTGCCATTTTTCCTTCCTGTGCAGTACTTGCTCCTCTCTTCACTCCTGCCTTCTCATCACCTGCATCTAATGGGGCTCCTCCCGCCTCTACTCCAGCTTTAGTGGTGCTGTGAGGTTCTTGCTGTCTCCTGCAGTAGGATTCACTGCCCCACTCGGGCTTCCTGGCGCTCGGCTCCCACGCCTCAGCCAGTTCGGGGCCTCTGCCAGCATGCCCCGGTCTCCCACTCCAGCCCTTGTCCTAGCCATAAGGAGAGGAATTCCAGAGAAAAGCTACCAGAGGCTCCCATCCATCCCTGCTGCACCCTCCCTCTGGGGAGAAGCACTCTCCTTCACCACTTGTCCCCTCGCCCCCTAGCTGAGGGGCCCAGCACCAGGTAAGCCTCCTAGACTCACAGGGGTGGGCAGTGAGGGTTTTCATGGACCTAACTTTGGACCAGGCTCCTGCCCAGTCTCAGCAGCATTACTCAGTGTTGAAAGGACTCCCTCAACTAGCTCAAGCCCACCACACTATTACCCCTCAGCCCTGCTCCCTAGACCTGGGAAGCCCACAATCACTGCCTCATCCTCAGAGCTGTCAGCACCCCCAGTTCTAGAGCTCTCACTCCTGGCGGGGTCCCAGAATGTTTATACAAGGAGGGATTTCAGGGTTGAGATGCACACAAGTATGCTCTGCAGAGTGCCCTGGAGCTGATCTGTGTGTATGTTTGTGTGCGTGACTGCGTATGTGTGTGTGCATGCATGATGGACTTAACACTGGGGCTCTAGGCCCCCACTCATATTTTGACCGTAGAACCCCAAACTTTTTCTGTGTTACCAGTGGAGACTCCACATACATTACTATTTAAACAAAAGAAGCCATTATTTTTTTAAAAGGTTTGAAAATGTTGAAAACTTGACAAAACTCATTTTACATATGGGGAAACTGAGGCCCAGGAGAGCAAATGGCTTTTCAAAGTCACAGTGGGGTCAGTAGCAGAGCTGGTACCATACCAGGCCAGCTTGGCTCACAGGTTGATGTTTTTGCCAAGACCAGGCCGAAAGGTCCCCATCTCAGGAGGTGTCAGGTGGGGGCAGAGTGCCAGGAAGGCCCCATCTAGAGAAGTGGGTTAAGGTCACAGCCTCTTCTCCCTCCATTCCTCTGTGAAGTGCCTGAGAGAATAGTTGCATTGGAAAGGTTACTGAGTTCTTAACTGGAGGCTTGAGGTTTTGGAGCGGGAAGGGGCAGGATGAGGGAGGAAGAGTGGGGGAACAGAAATTCATCCTCTGGGTCGCTCATACACCCTCCCTCAATTAAAGACCAAATGTCCTCCCGCCAGTTTGTGACTACTTCTACATTCCACCATAGTCACTCTGATAGTTCTCCACAAGAAGAAGAAGGGCTCCACGGGTGCTCCCCACTGCAGCCCCTGTCCCACTGGAATCAGCCCTCCCTACCCCAAGCATCTACTTCCAAGCAGAGGGAGCTGGTGTCCACAGACGGAGCAGGGTGACCCCGAGGTGACAACTTCTGGGGTGGGAAGGCTGTGAAGAAGGGGATTGGTATTTCTGTCTTGGGGGTCCTGTGGACACCCTGCTACTGGCAACAGCAGAAATGGCACAGTAGGGGGCTCTGTGGCACTCACTATGTCTCCCCTAGTGTCTAGCTGGGCACTTGGGAAAATGCTCTTGAATGAATGGATGTGTTCATTCTCCCCTAACTCCTCCACAATCACCAGCCTCCCTCCTCCCCACACCCCTGTCCTTTAGAGACTACAAGGACTGAGTTATTCTTAGTAGTTTTCATTCATCAAAGCATGACAAACTGTGTCCTGGGAGGAATGCCTGGGAGCCAAGAAGAGCCAGAGGAATGGGGTGGGGTGCAAAGGTTCCATCTGAGGGGAGAATTCTAGTGCTTTCAGGGAGCCCCCAGTCTGAGAGGGAGACACAGCCCTGCCCTCAGAGCTCCCTGTGATGGAGGATACTACCCCCACACCCCACTTCCCCAGCCCTCAGTGAGATCTGTCTGAAGGGAGAATTCTAGCATCTTGCCCTCAAAGAACCTCGGGTTTCATGGCAGAAAACTAGCTGTCGTCCCTGCTGGAGAAGATATACCAATGGGCAGATTGAAACTCAAGATGAAAAAAGTGGGTACCAGAGGGGTATCCAGAAGCATGTGCAGCAGCCATCATTGCCACCACATGTGGGAAGCCTAAAGAGGGGCTTCCAGGAATACTCACCCTGCAGTGCTTACCAAGAAACATGCAAAGGTTCCAAAGGGGTGGTAATGGAGCAGTCTGAGGTTCTAGCATTTGGGGAAAAGGAGAAAGGCACATGCTGAGCAGGCTGTTCTAAATCAGGGGTCTCAAACCCAAATGCCTTTGGGGACTAGACTGGCCTCACTGACCTTTCCAACCAGGAGGGCAATCAGAGAGCCTGCACTGTCTGTAGGCTCTCACATTCAATATGAAAACCACACATTCGTTGCAGGCCAAACCTCACTAAAGATTAAACTTGGCCAAGGCCGCAAGTTTGCAACCCCCTGGAAATCAGGAAAGAATTCCTGAGAGAGGAGAGGTTTGAGACTGGTTCGGATAAAGAAGCTGACAGCCAAGTTGCGCCTCCTTAGTCCTGGCCACTAGGCTTGGCTTCTGTGTCTTCAGGGCCTCCTCCCACCCTTCCTGGGATGGGAGACTTGAGCCATTCTTCACCTGCTCCCCTGGTGCGTAGCGTAGGGCTTCAGGTCTGTGATGGGAGGATATTATCTTTCTTTCTTTTGCGGGAAGGTAATTCTCCTGCCAGGGGAAGGAGACTGTGGGGCTCTCATAAAGCCACTGCTAAATGAGCTGATCCAGAAGTTCTGGCTGGGTGGCCTTCCCTGAGAGCCTTTACTTTTCCGTGCCTCATATTCGAAATGGAAATACTGTTGCCTGGTGCCCTTACCCACCCCTTCCCCTGACAGTTAACTTTCCAATAGGCCTCAGTGTTCCTGTCGATAAAGTGGGTTCCTGCCCTCTTCCCGCTCTCCCAGATCCTTTCAGAACTGTAGTCTTATGGGAGGAGAGCGGCCGGCTTCCACATCTTCAGGCCGCCGAGCCTGTCTCCCCAAGTCCTGCATCTCTCCTCCGCCCACCCCAGGTGGGGTCTCATAGCTGTCTCCTAGGACCACGGGGCAGTCCCAGAGTGCAGCAGGAGGCGGCGACGGGCAAGCCGATGCGAGCGCTCCTGGAGCCGGGAGATAGTTCCGGGACCGGGGAGGGGCAGCTAATTACCGCGCGTTGGCCCAGCGCCGCGGAGCGCTGGGACGAGAGCGGCGGTGGGTAATTAGAGCGCATTAGCCGTGCGCAGGCAATCCTGTAATTTCTCCGCGCGCTCCGGTGTGTTGTAGGAGGTGAAGCGATGCAAGATCGGCTCTGAGTCACTCTCGGAAGCCCGGGTGGGGACTCAGGGGGCGGCAGAAGCCTCGGAGAAGAGACTTCTGCCGTGGGAGGCGCCGGTGCCTTCCCCTGGCTGGAAGTCACCTGCCCCGGGACTCCCCGTGGTGCACCCCACTCGGGCGGGGCCTGGGGGCTTGGCCAGGAGGGGCGTGGCCCGTGCCTACTCCTGCCTCCAGGGGGCGCTCCCCTGCCCAGCAGATCTTCCCCAGGCTCGGAGTCTGGTTCCCTGCACCCAGCCCTTTGGCTTGCTCCTTGCACGCAGGTGGACTGAAAAAGAGAGATGCAGATGCAACGCGCGAGGCAGAGAAACCCCCAATGTCCCAGAATTTCGGCAGAGACGGGCGACAGACCTAGGACAGCGATCGAAAATAGAAGTCAGAGACATTAGAAGGGTGCGGGACACTTGTTCTAACCGAGCCCTGAAATCACTTGTGGGGAAACAGGGAGGAGCCAGCAGGGGCTGAGGCTGGGAGGGGAGTTTATTTATTAGCCAGATTAGCCAGCATTAATGGGGGAGCGGTGGTGGCCGGCGGCGGCGGGGACATAGTTGGCATAGCTGGCATAGCGGCGGGGCCTCCCGCGGCGCGGGGCCCTTGCGGCTTCAAAGGGGCTTAAAGAGGCCCGTGGTGGCACTGCCACGGCCCCGCGGGGGGAGGGCGTGGGCGCGGGCGGCGGGGGAGAAGGCGGCCATTGTGCACGGAGGGATTAGGGATCTGGCCTGGAAGGAATTTTAAACTGCTGCGAGCCGGCGCCCCAGGACTTCCCTCCCGCCCCACCACTGCTCTCCTGAGCACCAGCACGAACATGCTTAGATGTTTACCTGCATTTCCGTGTCTGGGGGCGGGGGGGTTCCTTCCTCCTTCCTCAGATTGGAGACATCTAGGGTTGTCAGATTTGTCAAAAATACAAGACGCCCAGTTCACTTCGAATTTCAAACAAACAATAAAAAAATTTTTAGTATAAGCATGCCCCAAGTTGTATGGGATATACTTATACTGAAATATTATTAGCTGTTTATCTGAAAATCAAATTTAACTGGACTTTTTGTATTTTTTTTCTAGCAGCCCTAGAGTCACAGAAATGTCAATTCCGTGTCTACAACAGATTGGGGGCTCCCGAAAAATTGAATTGGGCTGTGTTTCTACCTTCAGACTAAGTTTCCTGAAGCTGAATACTGTGTTTCATGGTTCCGAATGTTGCTCCGATGGCAGTGTATGTCTCCTCCATCAGACTAGGAGCTTCCTGAGGACAAGCGCTAAATTTCAGATTAGAGCCTGGAGGTCAATGTCTAGGTCTCCTTCACCACACTGGGGGTTCCCTGGGGGCAGGATCAGTGTCCTGGGAGAGCAAGTCTGTCTCCTTTCCTCCCCTAGGCAGGTGGAGGCCCCTCCCCCGTTGTGTAGCTTCCTGCCTACAGGGGGCGCTAGGGGCCCAGAGGCCTGACCAACAGATGGATGGGTCCAGTTCCTCAGGACCCAGGGTTGCAGGTTCTCTAGAGTTGACATGACACACCTGGGTACTTGCGGGGTGTGGAGGGGTAGTGTCCCTATCCTGTGTAGCTCCCGACCTGGTCCTGGCCCTTGCTCTGGCAGTGGAGGCCAGGCCTGCCTAGCTAGAACCTATGGTCAGCATGTAGGAGAAGCTCCAAGTCTGGTTACTCTCTGTTTCTGCCAGGAAGGGACAGTGCAGCCCTTTGTGCATAATGGCCCTGCTCACCTCCTCTTTCCCCAAAACCATGACAGCCAAGTCCCCGACCTCTATCAGGCTTACAAAACTTCACTGCCCAGCCTTTGCTTGGGCTGTTTCTCTGCCTCAAGCACCCTTTCTTCCTGTCCTCAAGGGCTGCTAGAAACATCACCCCTTCTGGATGCTCTGGCTTGCAGCAGGGTATGGCCTAGTAGGCTGCTTGTGCCCAGGGGTCTTCTGGTGAAAAAATCCCTCCATCTATTCCCTCCTTCCTCATCACCCTGTGCCCCAGGGGCTAAAGATGGAACAAAGGCATGGGTGAGGAAGATGGGAGGTGGGGCAAATCTAGGTGAGGGGAAGCAAAAAAGCTTCTGTCACCATCTCCTCCCCTTCTACCCTCGGTAACCCCTTCCCAAATCCCCTCGTCCCCTCAGGGCCTCTGAACTCTTTTCCCTTGAAGCTGAGGGAAGCCTAGGAGGAGCCCTTTCCCACGGTCAGTCAGTTGCAGCCTCAACGTCCCCCCACCTCCTGCTCCTTTGGCCACAGCCACCTCAGCCTCTGCAGAGCACAGGCCTGGCCCACCCCATCCCTGCAGGGCCCCCTCTTTGGGCCAGGGTGCCTGATTCTATGAGCCAGTGGCATCATCACCCCACTCCTCAGGCCACCCAGTCATCAGGTCAGTAATTAGCTACTTCCTCTGCCTGCATGAGGCCACTGAACGTCATAGCCCCTCCTCCCCTCTCCCAGCCAGCCGCTGGCAGGAGTGCTGGGCGAGGGGGGGGGGTGCCCCTCACACTTTGTAGTCAGTGCCAAGTCCTGAAGCTGCCCCCCCACCCCAAACTACTGAGTTCGGAGTTAATGAGCCTCCCATTTAGGGAGCTGGGTGCTCCTGAGGGCGAGAGAAGCCTCCTCCCTTCTCCTTCTCCATGTCATCCCATCCCATCTGGGTAAGGACACTCCCGCTGCCTGGGTGGGGTGATGCTGGCTCAAGGACACCAGCAGCCCAAGCAGGCGGGGCTTGAGACTCAGGTGTCTCTCCTCAGTCATAGGCAGTTTTCACCCAGCTTTCACCTGGGGCCCAGGAATCTGTGAAATGAGAATGGTGGCAGTTATCTGGTAAGTGGGGAGAAACGGGGAGCCACTCTATTGACAATTAAACAAGTAGTGGGCAGGCTGTTCATGAACACCTACAGGGGATCACACGCCTGTCCCAAGGCACGCTTACAGATACAGTTTATGCAGGGTATGCCCTCATACCTTGCCCCTGGTGGGCGAACCCACCTGGAGGTGCACCCATGTGCCCGATACCCCTCTTCCAAACGTGTACACACAAACCCACCAACACACTCAGAGAGACAATAAGCTTGCCGTCACAACAAAAACAAAACCAGGACACAACAGAGGAGCCCAGGAGAGTGGTGTGAGAGGAGAGATGACCCCAAACCTGCCATCACCCCCACCCACCTGCCTCACCATGGGCCCAGGGAAGACTGCACTTCGAGGGTATATGTGCAGTGGGCACGTGGGCTGCAGTGGGAGCAGCCCTGGTCTGAGTCTGGAGGAGCGGGGAGGGTACAGATTTACAGAGAGGATAAAAGCCTTCCTACAAATGTGTGTAATCTTAGGCAGATCATTTATTTAACTCCTTAAGGCCTCAGTGATATCATCTGTCAAATGGCGATGATGAGTGCACCACTTAAACTTTGCTATGAAGTTTAAATGAGAGCAGACTCTGAGCTGACACTAGTAGTGAGCGGATCCTCCCCGTGTCCTGTTGCTGGGTTGTAGGTTTGCCTAAAAGAGCTGCCCTGGGGAGATAGGCAGCCCCCATCCTGGGCCTTACCTGGCCAGGTGCCCACCCCTGTCTTTCTCCATTTCCTGGGGTCCAGCCCCAACCCAGGCATGGCAAGTGATAGGGTGCTACACCAGATTGGCCTGGGGGGTGGGGCCTGGGAGATTACTTGCCCCACCTTACAAGGCTGACACACAGGTAGCTGAGTGCTGGCTTCCAGCCCCTGAGAGGATGAGTCAGCCAGCGTCTCCCCACCAGGCAAATGGGGTGCAGGGGACTGGAGTTTGGGTGGAGGGGCCTTCTAGGAACGTTCCTGGAAAAAGACCCAGGAACAAGCACTGCTGCTAGGGAGCCATTGCCTTGGCCTACCGGGCTGTGCCTAGCTCAACAAACACCCTTGTCCTTGCTTCTTACAGCTCACCTTCCAGATTCATGAGGCGCCCTGCTGGCCCCATGCTGCCTTGTCACCCTTCTCAGCCCATCTAGCAGGGTGTCTGAGCCATGGACACAGGGACACATACACACACTCATAAATGCGCCCATGGCCACATAAACACAACCAGAGACCAGTGCAGAGACCTCACAAGAACACACTCACATAACACTCAGTCCTTCTTCACAGTTATATACACCCACATAGACACTCATGTACATGCACGGTTTCACACACATGCACACTCAAGTACACCCACACACAAACATGTAGAGTCATAATCACTGTTGTTGATTGTATCGTGTCCCCACAAAGATAATTTGAAGTCCTAACCCCCAGTACCTGGGAATGTAACCTAAGTTGAAAATAGGGTCCTTGTAGATGTAATCAAATTAAAATGGGATCTTACCAAATTTGGAGGGGCGCTAAATCCAATGACTGGTGTCATTTAGGGAGAGAGAGATTTGTAGACACAGAGGTACAGAGACACACAGAGAAGCCCGTGTGATGATGCAGGCAGAGATTAGAGTGATGCAGCTACAAGTCAAGGAAGGCCAAGGATGGCCGGCAACCACCAGGAGTTAGGAGAGGTTGGGAGCAGACTCTCCCGCGGAGTCCCCAGACTCTGGCCTCCTTAACTTTGAGAGAATACATTTCTGTTGTTTTAAGCCACCAAGTCTGTGGTAACTTGTTATGACAGCCACAGGAAATTAATACACAATCTCATACACAAACACACACACGCACGCACACACACACACACACACACACACACATGCACACACAGCTGGCTTTAGGCTCAGTAATGAGGTTGGGGGAGTTTCTCTTGGGAGTTGCTCTGTCTCTGTCCTCTTTCCCCTGTGACTGGTCCAGACCCAGAAAACTCAGGGCCCAGGGGAGCAGCTCAGTAATCTTTAACACCTCCTTTCTCCCTGGAGTTCTTAACGAGACATCCCCCTCAAAATTTGCTCTCGAGAATGGGTTGCCATGTTTATGTGAACCAAAAGACATGTCTAAGAATGCTATAGCTGCTCTAATCATATTAATTAAAAACTGGAAATGACTCAAATGTCCACCTACCGCAGAATAGATAAATAAATTGTGGCTTAGCCACTCAATGGAAGGCTACTCAGCCACAGAAGAGGAAGAACTAGTACTGTGGGAGC